ATCGACGTCTTGGTCCATAAACTTTGTACTTCGGTGCAGTAGTACATTCGAATGGGTTTTGGTTTCAGTCCGAAGGATGTTCATCCATTCGTTAGATATTCATTCATGTTTCTAGGTTCTGAGAGGCGAGAATGTTCTTCCGGGTGCTTCCCCATGCACGTTGTTACACTTCCGCGATCTTGAAACGTGGACGAGCAAATGTGTTCCAGGTTAGTCTCCTTGATTGCTTGGGCCAAAAAATTTCCTGTCGTTAGCTTCTTCGTCTGGTTCCAGGAAAGGCGACCGCTGTCGTTAGAGATTTTGCCTGCATAGGAAGTTTGCGATCGCGTACATGTACGTCACGTCTCCTTTTGTTCCTTTGGTTCTACGTAGGCTCCAGCACAACATGCCCAAACTCTAACTGCCATATCTTCATTACAAAGGAGATTAGTTTCTAACTGATTCTTTACACTCAACCTGGGTTGAAATTGTGGATGCTTTCGCGCGCTTTATGTGGTTTCTCTGACTTGAGAATTGACTTCCCGGCCTTGTAGTGAGACTACACTTTTTTCTGTCAACAGATTTGGGCCTACCTGATCGATAACACCGCCGAAAGTGCTAAGGTGTGGTTGCGGGTACGTAGCGAATATGTGAGCCGTAGAACGTGGTCCTGACACATAACGAGTGCCGTTGTCGAAGCTGCTGATGCCATCTGAAATTTGTGTTCTAGTAGCTCAGAACCTGCTGATCCTTTCTGATGCGATGGTGTAGTAGCATATGGCGATGCTGGTGAAACTCCGGCAGGGGCCACTCTTTGTTATCTTATCCGTAGTACTAGAGAGCACTCCTTTGGACTTTAACCCTATGGATAAGATAATAGGTAAACGACTCATTTCAAGTGCACTTTTGATAAGGACCGGTGTATGCCCTACATCACGCACATCCTGCTCACATCCTAGGCAATTTATGGCATGTGATCGTCCACCCTGGGCTCCTACACCCTTGCGCCTAGGAAAGGATGTCCACCCTAGTTCAGGACCATTTCCTTGGACCACAGCAGGCCGAAATCTGAAAGCACCTTAGGAGTACTTCCACACTACACCGGTCCTTATCAGAAGTAATTTCAAATGAATCGATTACGTGTCATGAAAACTCTTATCCTTATCCTTTCGGCGAGAGCACTATTCCCTCAAATTTATCCCTCAAGTTCGGGAAGGGGAGCGCCCCTCCCTTCCCGAACTTGAGTTTCACCGGCGTTGCTTATAATGCGCATGGGTAAAATCTAAGACCAAATCCCATCCGGGGCAATTAAATGTTCACCTTTAGAAGTATGATGGGTATACTTGAATCATATTCGTCGCAGAGCATAGAAACACAGACTTGCTCATTGGCTGACCTTCGCAATTCACTAAAAGGACCTAGCCGCATTTAGATGCTACCATGATTCTGAATGACGCAGAGGGCAGGGATAATATAGAACTCCGGTGACAAGATTGTCATCGAGAGTTCTATATTATTCCTTACCCTCTAGAAGACCCAACCCTCAAGCGCAGTACTGAGACGACAAAGGTTAATTTCGGTCGTCTGATTCACGAAACACAATAGGATCTCCGGCAAGCGAGAAATCACTTTTACAGATCCACCAACATTGAAAAATGCCGTGCTTGATGTTATAAACCCGTTCAAAGTGCTCGCACGGATTCTCTCGCATTCGTTTTTTCTTATTATACAATAGGAATTCTCGTCTGATGAGATTTATGGATTTTTGTCAAGTCGTGCCATTTCGCACTCATGAAGACTCCAAATTTGTACAAAACATTCACAGCCAAATCTTGCTACATACGAATATTACTACAGTGGTTTGTTTGATTATTATAAACCAGTCGCATCGCTCAACTGTTGCCGGGCTCTCAACCTTCTTGGGGGATCGCCCAGGTCGGACGACGACAGAAAATGTGCGAAAATACACTCCTAGTACAGTCTCAGGCCACGAAGTATACAACATTGCCTTATCAAGTTGTAGAGGTCGATCTTCAATCATCCAAAAATCGCCGAATATCTCGGCGTTGCCGATGCGAAGAGTTGGTAGGGTAACGTAAGTACTGCGAGATTGCGGAAGGCCGTGAAATTTTTTTCCATTTTCATAAGTGAACCCCTGGTGATCATTTCAAAGAGCAAAGAGATGATTTCCACCGAGTACGAAGGAATAAGCCATTGTCCAGTTTAGAAGCATGCCCAAGATCTCCCTGGTCGTGGCTCTTGCCCCACAGAAATCGCTGCACTCGTACCTACGCGCACCGACAGTGGCGGTCAGAGAAGAAAAAGGGTGTTTGTATCACTCACGATCAACACGCGCACACACAAGCCAATGTAGTCGTCTATATTTGAACCGCAGAAGGAATTAAACTGACCTCACTCAACGAGTTGACCGCTTTTATACACAATGATAAACATATTATTGAGTAGACCACTATCATTCCCCAACACCTCCCCCCTATGAGCATATCACATAAGTCTTCATTTTTGGATTCACTTGAAGACGCTCGGGTGGACGGCGGTTTCGGTGTCGGTTCCATCTGTCCGGTGTCCGTGGTAATGCTGTCGATTCAATACGATCCAAAGCATCGTTTTCAGAATCGGCGAGCATACGAGAGTCCCCTCCCGCTTCTTCTTTATGTTGAGCTTCTCTTCGATCCATGCTCTCGATCTTCGCTCCACAAATGTTCATCAGTTGTTGGTATTTCCTCATCAGTGGCATTTTCTTTTGGTCTGGCCCGCATCTGATTCGCATGTCTTCTCCACAGTTGACCTTGTTCCGTCAGAACGTCGTACAGAACTCGTCCAACACGACTCTTCACGTGTGCCATAATCCATGGCTTGTGTCCAGGGCGGTAGTCTCGAATCCAAACTGGTTCTCCGATCTTGTACGATCTTTCTCGTGCTCCGTGATGACGGTTGAATTGCGTTTCCATTTTTGCATTTCTTGGTCCTTTTCCACCTTCGGTTGTTTCCTCCAGTAACGTCAGCGTAGTTCTTATTTGACGTCCAAGAAACAGTTCTGCTGGTGAAAGCTGTGCAGGAGTTGAGGTGCATGGCGTTCTTCGATATACACTTCAGAAATTCTGAGAGGGGTTCCGATCTCTCTCCCTCCCTCAGTTTCAGCAGGGATCTCTTGAGAGTATCGACGAAACGCTCCGCTTGTCCATTTGACTGTGGATGAAAGGGCGGTGAACGGATGTGTTCTATGCCTTCCTCGTCGCAAAATTCTTTGAACTCTCTTGATGTGAATTGTGTTCCATTGTCTGACACGATAACTCTTGGATTTCCAAATCGTGCGAACAACATCTTGAGCTCTTTCAAAGTTGCTTTCGTTGTAGACGACGACATCTCGGAAACTTCAGGCCACTTTGAGTACGAATCGACAACCACAAGATACATCTTTCCGTTGATGGGTCCGGCATAGTCGATGTGAACTCTATTCCAAGGTTTCTTCTCTTCAGGCCATGAGTTGAGAGCTGTTTTCCTTGGCATCTTCGCTGTTTCTTGACAGTAGTGGCAGTGGCGGACATTTTCTTCAATGTCTCGATTAATGTTCATCCAATAGACATATCCTCTGGCGAGCATTTTCATTCGTGTCATTCCCGGATGTCCTTTGTGTAGCTGCTTCAGTATTGCTCCACGTAGAGACTTCGGAATAACGATTCTGTGACCGAAATAAAGGCATCCATCTTGTGAAGACAGTGCGTGTCGTAGAGCTTTCCAATCACGCATGTTCTCTTCAGGCTTCGCTGGCCATGATCCTTGTCTGAGCAATTTGGTGATCTTCGATTATCTCTGAGTCTTTCCTAGACTCTTCCTGGATCGAAGTTCTGGTCACCGGTAGCGCTTTAATGGAAGCTTCGTAGACGGCGAGGATATCTTGCTCTATTTTGGCTATGACAATATCTTCTGTTTGGTTTGGACGTGAGGGAATGAGTCTTGATAGTGCATCTGCTTGTCCAAATTCAGTCGTGCTTCGATACTCAAGATTGAAGTCGTATCCCATAAGTATAAGTTTCCATCGTTGGAGTCGATTTGCCGTATAGGTCGGTATTGCTTTCATGGATCCAAAAATGTGCAGCAGCGGCTTGTGATCTGTCAGCAATTTGAATCGACGTCCATATATGTAGCGATGGAACTTTCGAACAGCAAATATCAAGGCGAGTCCTTCTTTTTCGATTTGGCTATAGTTCCGTTCCGCGGCGGTGAGACTTCTACTGGCGTGGCAAATGGCTTTTTCTGTACCATTCGGCATCCTGTGAAGAATTACTGCTCCAATGCCATAGTCCGATGCATCAGCAGCGACTATTATTTCCAGGCTGGGATCGAAATGTGTCAGAAGTAGATCCGAAGCAAGTACTTCTTTGGCGCGTTGAAAAGCTTCTTCACACTTGCTTGTCCAGCAAAAAGTAGAACTCTTCTTTAGTAGGTCATCGAGCGGGGCGCGTATTTTGCGCATCTCGGCCACAAATGATCCATAGTAACTGATCATTCCAAGGAACGAACGAACTTCTGCGATGTTTCGCGGTACTGGCATATGGCGAATGACTTCAATTTTCTCTGGATCAGGACGTCGTCCGTCTTTGTCGATGATAAATCCAAGGTAGCGAATCCTCGGCATGAGAAAACTGCATTTCTCCAAGCGGACATGAAAGCCATATTCAGCTATTCTGTCAAGGAGTGCTTCCAAGTTCTGGCGATGCTCTGCATATGTGCGGCCTGTGACTATGATGTCATCCAAGTATGCAGCAACGCCTTGTAATCCGCAAATCATCGAATCCATTATTTGCTGAAAAATGCCAGGTGCTGATTTCACTCCGAAGGGTAGACGATTGTAACGGTAAAGTCCCTTGTGTGTGTTTATCGTCAACATCTCCTTCGATTCTTCCTCGACTTCCACCTGCAGATACGCGTCTGCCAAGTCGATTTGAGAGAAAATTTGTCCTCCATTTAGTCTTGTGAACACCTCTTCCGCAGTGGGCAGTGGGTGTTGATGCAACTGTAGAGCATCGTTTAATCCTGTCGAGAAGTCGGCACACAGACGGATCTGTCCATTCTTCTTCTTGACTGCAACGATGGGTGCGGCCCATTCCGAATGGTCAACTGGTGAGATCACTCCATCGGAAACTAGCCGATCAATTTCTGCATTTAATTCAGAGATAGAGGCATAAGGGACTGGTCGTTTCTTTTTGAAAACAGGTACTGCGTCTTCTTTCAAAAATAACTTCGCTTTCCTTTTCTTGCATCGACCCAGCTCGCATTTGAAAATTTCTGCGTACTGCTTCTTCAGGTCGCCAACTAAGGAACTTCTGATAGTATCCGCTTCGCTCACCATTCGGCAGTGGTACTTCTCTTGTAACTCCTTGTAAGCGGGGAGTTGGACACACCATTCCAGACCGAGTAGATTTGTGCTCTCTGTGACGTAGCAATAACCATTTCCTCGGAACTGTTTTCCAGTAGTGCGGTCCTTCACGGAGAAGCCTGTGGAAAATCTTCCATCGATTTTCATCGGTGATCCATCTGCCGTCTTGACTGGTATTGTGCAGGATTCCAGGAATGGGGATCCAAGCTTTTTCCATGTTCGGCGAGATATCAGGGTAATATCCGCCCCAGTGTCAAGCTGGAAGCGTAGCGAATGCCCTCGGACATCAACATTGATGTATGTCCTTGCATTCTCTGCGGCAAAAGTTGCAATGTTTTTGCACTGGTTCCTCCTACGACGATTATGCTGCCTTCTGGGTTTCTTCGGGATCTGGTTGGACATCTTTGGCATATTGGCGAGAAGTGGACAAACATTCCTGTAATGTGGGCCTCCACATTTGAAACATTTCACTTTCTTTTTCTGCACGGCATGAACATCGTGGCTTGTTCCCATATTTGCGTTATCCATCTTCAGGGCAGTGAAATTTTCGCATTCTGCAACGAGATCTTCAATCGTCAATGGCGCGTCTTCTGCTTGCGTATCGAGTCGACGAAGCATTCTGAGACGTACTTCTCGCAGAGAAGGATCCTGAAGTCCTGCCACAAACTGCAGTGTCTTCAGTGCTGTGTAATCCATTTCCTTCAGTGAAGCTTCTTCATCCATCCTTTTGATCGTGTTCGCATAATCTCGGAATGGTACGTAGTCCGAAGTAAGTGCTGGGCATGATATCCTCAAACACTCGTATCGGCGACGTATCAACGTTTTCTTGGATGCAAATAATTTTTGAAGTTTCCTCACTGTTGTTGCGAAATCGATCTCGTGCGGTTGTGAAGGTAGAACATCATCTGCATACTTACGGTAGGCGCTGTCTTCAAGTTTCAGCAAGATAAAATCTCTCTTTTTATCTTCTGGAATACTTGATGCTTCAATAATATGTCCATACCTTCTGTACCAGTAGTCAAATGTATATCCAGACTCCTCATCATATACGAACTTTTCTACGTCCTTGTTCAATTGGTCATATAGCAGCTTCTGGTTATCCACCATGCCATCCTTGGTAGGCGCTAACGAGGCGAACAGCATTTTCATCTCTTCATGCTGAAATTGCAACTGTTGAAGCATAGTTTGAAGTACTACCTCGAGCTGTGCAGGATGAGCAGAAGCTGTTCCATCTCCAGATGACTTCGGCATATTGCATACGAGTTGCTCTGAAGTCTTGAGCGGCTGTTGTCTTGAGTCCTGTAGATCCTTGGTGCTGGTCCTGATCGCCACTTGTTGTATCCGTACAGGCAGCCAATGTAGTCGTTTATTGAACCGCAGAGGAATAAACTGAACCTCACTCAGAGAGTGACCCTTTTATACACAATGATAAACATATTCATTTGAGTAGACCACTATCATTCCGTAGACAGCACCAAGGCAAACAGAATCCGCGCAATAAGCGAACTCCAGGTCTGCGGAACTCACGTATTCTCCACCAACCCTTCTCTTATTGCCGGTGTCTAAAATGGTAACCGAATAGACCTAGAGACAGAGGAGAGCGACATGCAGGGAGTGATGGGCTTGCAGAGCAGCGAAGAAGAGCGCATCAGAGTAGAGGTATGAGAGCACACAGACAACGGCCTGATAAGAGAGCTCGTTCGCTGCAGCTCGAGCAGCTTACTTTGCAAGCCCAAAGCGTTCTTGTCGGTCGAATTCCGTGCACGTGAACGCCACATTTGTGATTGTCCCCTAGGGTTCTATACTTCTGACCGAAGAGAAGCGTTCACACGACCTCTGCCTGGGTTGTGCCTTTAAGGTTATAGTAGGCATGCGCCCCTCTCTGAAGAATAGACTAAAGAACACATAGAATTTCCCGTGCTTAGCCACCATGCTTGCCGACAGAAAAAAAGAGACTCACCAAATGCTTCACTCAGTATTTAATATTGCGAAGTATTATGGCAACCATGATATCACTTACATATAGGTCTCAGATGAACTGTACCTGTCATCTAAAGCGGTTGTTTTTCCGCCTCCGCCCTCCCTGCCCTCGTCCTTCGCCTGCTCTCCTGCGCACGACAGCATTGAAGTGTCCGTGTGTGTTGAATTTTTATAAAAGCTGTTCGTGTGTTATCCCAATCATGACATCAAATCACGAACGCAAATATGCAGACTTCGACCGATCCCAAGAATTTCGTCTTATCGTTAGCACTTGGTTCTTCCTGCCATCATACCTTCGGGTACGCGACAGGAGGCCTGTCGCACGGCATGAAGGCAGAGTCAGGGACGAGTCGCAGCCGTGATGCGCGACATAGGACCGTACATCGGTACATTTTATTTAGCTCAACGCTAATCCCTACGGTACACGCTGCGACCCGTCCACTGACTCTCCTTTCTTGCCACGCGACGGGCCTCCTGTTGGCTAGCCAGTTACCTCCACAAACAGACAGACCGGCATCCCCACAAACCAACACACCAAGGTTGCCTTTCATAATATGATGAAGTGGAAATGAAGAGAGAAACGGAGCAACTGTCCAAAAACATATACCATGCGCTGCTCAAAAACAATGACAGTGCTTTTTCAGTCTGAAGACGCGATTGAAAAAATTCGTTGAATCATAACTAGCGGAGGGAGGAAGGAAATGACCACTTACCGTAATAGACGATGAATGTCGATAAGGCACCAAAGAATGCACCGATATTTTGCGCCACGGTGAACACGATGAACCTTAAAAATGGTTATTGTGGTGTCTTCATGGGTAGTTTACCAGAAAGGCGCCTTGAAGTTCTTGGTTAGTGCAAATTGTGATTACCTCAACGCATTGATCTTTCCTTGTGAGAGGAGGAAGAACGAAACCGCAGGATTCAAATGCCCACCTAAAATTGTTGAGGATTCATGTGCAGATTGGACAACTTCACAGTGATCATCTAAGGTAGCCTGTTAATGGCGTATGATGTCGACCAAAACAGTACAAAAGCCTTTTCCTTTGTCCTTTCTAACCTCTATAAAGCAACAAAGATTCTTTCACTTCACTCTGCGGATCAGGGTGAAAATCTTGTCGGGGACCTGGTCACATAGACCAACCCCCTTAAAGGAGGAATTCACGATTAGAATGAAGGTCGAAGAAAGGGAAACTGACCTAGTTGAGGGACCCACGGACCTCCTGAGGGTGCGAACTGACGCGCAATTCGCATGGAAAAATTTGACCTCGGCGACCTATCATGCCTCAAAGCTGGCGGGTCCGGCGATCTCCGCCCACCGATCATCTGATCACTCGCCGTAGTTCAATACGTGGCGAGTGATTAGATAGCTGAGAGAGCGTAGTGTTGAAGAGGGCACAGCGATGAGAGTCGCATCAATGCTCGAATCAACGGGCAAGGAAGGACCATTTCTCGGGTTCTGGGCCGTTTCTCATGGTTCTTCCTTCTTTCGTGTACCACTCACCATCCCTAGGTTATTTTGAAATGCTTTGCTTTTTAATCGTCCTTTAACTCGGGCGACTGAAATACGACCCCTCTAACCTTGATTTGATGTAAATAAGCGAGTTCCATCAATGCATAACAAAGCGTTCAGTTGCAGCGCAGTTTGTCCGTGGGTCAGATTTGCCGAAAACCCCGCTCGAAACCGTCGAAATCTACACTCTCGCGAGAAAAGGTTCCATTCCCCCATTTCACAACTTTGGAGCAGTATGTGGTAGGGTCAGATAGAGCTGGTTTTGCTGCTACCGGGCAATATTGAAATTCCAAATAAGCTTTTACACTCGAAAGATAGGGTCTCTCAAATTTCGTCGAGTAAACGTAAGGAGGCTGAAATTTTCACGCGAGTTTTTGCCACTTCAAAGAGCAATATCTCTCTTAATTCGTAGATCTTGAAAAAGGAAGACAGTTTTGGAAAGCGGAAGGTTTGCGCTTTGTAGTAAAAGCCTGTTTAACACCCTTCTCCATTTTCTAGCTGAGGAGATATTTGCGTCGAGGCCTTTGTTTGAGGTACGATTTTTGACCACTCAAGAAGTCGCTTTCTCTTTCACCACTGCAAGTTTTGGCAACTCTCAGGAGAGTCGCCTTGAGGATTTCCTTAAACGATATTCACCCTTCTGCGACATGCACTAAAACTGATGTTCGAGAAAAAAAGGAAAAAAGTACTGAAGCTACTCAAGCTTTGCCTCTGTAGCTGGTACAGCATCTATAACCAGGCTAGCTTATTTTTTGCAATCCTCATATTTTTTTTGAACCTCACATCTTTACAGCATAAAAAACTCCAGGATGGGGTTAGAATAAGACTGCCATAAATCGTTATATTCACCACACCTGAAATACGGTAGCTCATCTGCACAGCGAACAGCAATACAAGCCCCCATCCGACGGCCACGGCGATCCATTCGTTCGTACGTCGCTGTGACAACACAAACTGCGCGTTCACGCAACCGCCGCCAAACTAGAAATTTTCAAAAATTCAGATTAAAACAAAGAATCCGAAAAAGAATCCTCGTAAAAATGTACATGTACATTTGAGTGAAAGTACTAATGGAATGGATGCCCATAACATTTTAACTTCACCTTCTCATAAAGTATTCAGGCGTTTTCAAGTACGGACAGAAACGTTTGTGCTAGGGGAAGATGTTTAGAGATGAAGAAACGTTCGATTCCCTCCCCTCCCCCCACAACTAGTGATAAATTGTTGATTTTTGTGTTGTATTTTTGATGACAAGCATGAATTCGAAAGCGACTGTGAGGCTTCCCTTTGCTAACCCCAATTAACTAAGCCTTTTCATCATTCCGCTTTATCTTCCAAGACTAGTGATAAGCGAATTCTCCAAGAAGTTGTTGTTCTACATACCCTCCCTTCAAAAAGCGAGAAAGTGTCGGGTGCAGACCATGCACCACAAGTGACGACGGCCTTCACAAAATGTTAATGTTTTCTGCCAATGAAATGATTAGCCTGTTGCAGTTGTATTCTATCGATTGTCACTAATTACAACTATCATTTACCAGAAATCAGCTATCACTATGAACAACTTCTAACCAGATTACTTGGAGGCCGTCGTCAGTTGTGGTGTTTGGTCTGCACCCGACACTTTCTCGCTTTTTGAAGGAATGGTTATTTCATTTCGGTTGAAGCTAATCCTCAATGACATGCTGCAGGATAAAGCTGGTGTGTAAGAGCTCAGTAATGAAGGTGAAGTTGAAGAGTGGAGTGAAGCGATTTTCAGTTTTCAGATTCAGTTTCTTTAAGTTCGGGCTCAGACCCACCTAATAAGCCCTTAAAGTGGCTAGAAGTGCATGGGACGCAGCTGCAGGCGACTCGCCAAGTTCCCGCCAGAGTCAACCCTGCGTTGCGCAGTTTTCAACGGCCACGTTGCGCAGTTTCGCCCGATTAGACACGTTCTCTCGCGCGA